CTTTTCGTTTTCGCCACCGCATGGACCCGTACGAATAGCTAGCAGAGCCGGTGGAGGTGGGGGATCAAGAGAAGGTGGCTGCCCGGAAGATCGATTCAGCGATACGACAAGCCCGACGCCTTAAAGTGAAGGCAAAGGATGGGGCGGCCGCCAAAAAGAAGGGCGGGGACGGGGACGAGGTGTCGGGGTCGAGCGGGCTGCCGCCGCCACCGTCCATGCACACACCGCCCCTGTCCAGAGCAATACCAGCCGCCCTATTTCTACATCACCAAGCAGCTCAGCCGACAGCAACAGTCCCCGACCTCCGCCGCTGGGTACGTATCATATTGCGTTGACGTCAACACGACGCCGCTCCATTTCCTTGACTCTGCATTGCTCGGGTTGTCCAGTCGCGGGCGTCGTGCATGGATCAGTTCGGTGCCCTCTCTCTGTTCGCGGGTATGTCTCAACTAGGCAAAACAGTGTATGACGACGCGGAAAGGGAGTTGATGGAGATGATCCACGACGGAGGCAGAGGCTGCTTCGAGGACGGACAAGTGGATAATTCGGAACCGGAGGTGCACGCCCAGCAGCTGGGCACGTACACCCAGCAACCAGACTCGTACACTGGGCAGTCGGGGTAGAACACGTACGGAGACGATGACTTGGAGGATTGGACGACGATCCAAAGAAGAGGGTTAGAGGAGAAAGTTTCAACATGCGGGAGGACAAATTGTTGTGCGATGTGTGGTTGGCCATTAGCATTGATTCGATCCATGCACGGGGCAAAATGGCGCAACATTTTGTCCAATATTCATTCTTGGTTCCATGAGCAAAAGAATTTCAAGCCCTATCGCAGCGAGATCATCCACGATCATGGGACAAAGTTGCTCAATCATCGATGAAGAAGCGAGAAGGGTGAAGGTGCAACTAATCCCCGGTGGTTTTGGTAATTCATAACAACGTATACATCATTGAACTAATGATATATTTAAAGAATATTTCAGGAAAGTTCAATCTAGGTATGGCAATGGGATGTGAATGTGGACCCGTCAAATGCAAAGGACAAAGCATTGGCAAAAGCTCCAATTCTATATTTTTTGGTTAAGGGATCCAAGATCACGTTGAGTCCATAGGAAAGCCAATACCATTAAGAGGGGATGAGATATCGATCATGAATCATTTACTCAAGTGCTTAGAGATATTGCTTCAACGCCCTCATATTCCTATCTATCCAAAACCGTAAAGTCAATCTTGGTCCCACCGATACACATCTACCCGGACCCACCAAGATATACTTGATAGAGTCACTACCTAAACCCTAGCAACTCGGTCTCATGAAGATGGCATTCGGTCCCACCGAAGAGTGCTTGCCAACCTTCTATAACCTATTAATTTTTGGAATTTTCGAGCGGTTTCGATCGGTGACACCGAAGTGTGGAAAGGGCTTAGGTCATCACCCATCGGTCTCTCCGAGCTGTTTCATCCAGTCTCATCAAAAAGCCTAAAGTTCTTACATTTTGCACTAGTAGGTCTCACTGAGTGGTTTCACCCGGTCCCACCGAGTTGTGCATAAAAGTGTGTAACGGTTAGATTTTTTTGTGATGGCTATATATACCCCACCCATTCCACCAACTCTGTGAGAGAGAGCGATCATGATGAAACTACCACTTCCCATATCCATTTCTTGAGAGAGAGCCACCTATACTTGTGTTGAAATCAAGGGGGTTCCACTCCAACCTTTGATCTTGATTTCTAACCCCCTCAAGTTGCTTTCCACTCCAATCCTTCTCTTAATACCATGCCAAATCCATGAGAGAGTGATTGAGTGTTGAAGAGGCTATCTTTTAAAGCACAAGATAAAGGAGTTTATCATCAACAACAACATCTATTACCTTTTGGAGAGTGCCATCTCCTAGATTGGTTAGGTGTCATTTGGGAGCCTCCAAATCTTG